ATGAAGATTATACAAACTAACACATATCAGACTCTTTCCAAATGGCATTTTTACTTCCACTAAACTTCCCATATAAAGTGCACTGAACTAAATGAAAAACACATTGGTGTCAGTGGATACCAGTAGAGGTTCTTAAAAATATGTAAACTCACCTTGGAAGCCCACAGTGAAATAAATACAAGGTCTTGTAAAAAAAACTTCTAAAAATTGCTAATGTCATTTAACTTCATTTAAACTTTTTCCTGGATATTTTTCCCCTGTTTTTTGGGGGGTTGGTGTTTGGTGGTTAATACTGACCTCCACTATGCTATTTGCCCCTCAGAGTTCCATTGAGTATGAAATTATGTTTATACAGTTTTATTCTACCAAATATAAATGGAGGAGCTGTACTTTGCTTTATTACTGCTTTGCTTTATTGCTTTACTCCTGTCAGAGTATGAAGGGAAGCACCTCCTTTTCTCCCCACTTGGCACTGACCTGCTGCAAACTTCCTCCAGTATAGCCCTGCAGCTCTGTAACACTTCCACAACTTTGAACACCCTTGGCTTGATCAATATCATCACCAGATGTTATACTAAACCTAGGCTTCTCACGACTACAGCTGCTTTTTTTCTAATTTATTATTCAATACTAGGATTAAGTAAAACCAAGGGTGATTTTTTGTCAGCTGTCTGTATTAAAATTCATAACCACACAAACCCCTTCTATTTTGGTGAGGTCAGGCCCTATTGACAAGTCCCAGGAAGATGAGGCACAACTCACGAAAATTTCTTTCCTCCTTAATCTTCTAAGTCAAGCAAAAGTTATAAGAAGTGTACAAAGTCCATGATCTACTCTGCTATCCAAACAGACCTTGGCAGCTTCTGGGATTCAGATGCATAGTGTGCTAGAGCACACTTAAAAAGGTTATCCTAGGAAGTCTGTAGTACCTGTGGGAAAATGTCTCAGATGGTCAGTGTGTGTCTCTTACAAAGCCTGTGTGTCATTTCTTCCATTCTGGCCTTCCCTACACTTCTAACAGCACAAGGAATATGGGAAGTCAGGCTTGCTCTGGATAAATTGGATAAATAGATACTGCATACCTTGACATTCTCACATGGCATACAGACAATGAGCTACAGCATTAAGGTACACTGAGGCCAAATGATATACAGGAGGTACACAATACAATGGAAGAACATGGAATTCTGGACATATCAAAAAGCTGGCAATTCAATTTTTTTTAAAATATTGGTTAAATCCTATTAAACACATTTACTTGGTTTCCCCATTTTTTGTAAGGTCCATTCTGAATGATGAAGATGATGAGATGCCAAAGGCTACACTTGAACACCCTGTAATCAATAAATCTTAGCTCCTGTTAACAGAAAAGCTCTAATCACATTCCCTGTTAAACTATTTACCTCTTTCCTTCAATTATCATCCAGTTTCCATGAACGATCAAAGGGTAATGTAGAGTGGATAACTTAACAGTGTAAAAAGTCTAGTTTTTTTCCCTTTCAAACATACACGGGGGAAGAAATGCAATTTCTACACCCATTTGATGGAGAAAGTTCATTTTAATAGGAGGAAAAACAGATTCCATTACTGCTGGTGAGCTCTAAGAGTTCAGGTCACCTTGAAGGGCTGGGGTCTAACTTTGCCACCTTTCTCATCTTCATTATTTTCACAATTGCAGTGAAACCTGTTAACAGTGGGCTCACAATTGACTACAAAGCACACTTCAGTTCCTGTGAAGGCAATCTTCCTGTACCAAATTTTAACTTTTTTTCTCAAATGACTGCATTAGTGGTCAGGGCTGCATCACTGCAATCTGTGGGAGTTTTGCTGCTGGTAACAATGTCTCTGGGGAAATGTCAGTGGAGAACTATCTCTGTTTCTGTGTAAAGATTTTTTGCCTTTCTATCCATTTTCCTTTCCTGTTGATAATGTAAACTTACCTGAAATGTTTGGTTAGTTTTAAACCATTATAATACTGTTAAAGAAAACAGATTGTTCAACAAATCCAATAGAAAAAAAAAAGAACAAAAAACTGAAAATATTGCTCCTGTAGAGTTCATCTCACTGAAGCTCATCTCTAATAAGCTATTTGGTCACTGAAATGACACCTGCAATGTTCTCCCTTAGGATTTTAGTTAGCAGTTTTGAACATTTGAGCTGATATATTTAGTGCTTTTTAGTTTTTTGTGCTTTCAAGTTATGGTGTCACTGAGTATATTGCAGGCTCTTTGTTGTTTTACTGTTTCTGATCATCCAGGGAGATTAAAAATAATGAAGAACAACTGTTAACAATAAACTCCTATTTACATTGTCCACATGTACTTTGGAAAGTTAATTATAGCAATTTCTTCATATACTGCAACATAAAAATGTAGTACAATTCAATAAATTAGACTTGGACTCATAATGATTTTTTTAAGGTACTTCATTTTGAATTTAGGCATGGAAGTCTTGGAAGGTACTTCTGAAATATACTGGCATATTTAAAATAGGCAACTTTTTCTGTGGTATCATTAAAAATTTCTCCCAAAATGGAAGCATAGAAATAAATATTTGGAATTTATTATTTTTGCAATCCTTTTTCCTCCTTATAAATCTTTAAAATTAAACAGAAACTACAAGTGAATTCAAACAGCACATTTAGGTCAATCTTAGGCTGAACTAGTGTTGATTCCACTGAACAATGCACTAGGAAAAGCTGATTATAAAATCAGTATACAGGGATGGGTGGAAAGAAGAGATGACTGTTTCTAATGAATTGTTTAAAGCTCTGCCTGTGAGAACACATTCTTGGTTTTCACCACAGAGGAAAGCAAAGAGTAATTTCAGTAATTTCTGGTGCAAATATTGGATTCTCCACACATCTGATCACCATTCTTCATGCTACAAGTATTTTATCATTTGTGCAATTATAGTCAGTAATTATTGATAAACCAGAGGTTTAGCTTTGTTTATTCTGGCTAAACCAAATAAGTAATTTCTTGCATACTATCTTCTATTCTAATAATTTGTAACAATGTGACCTAATTAGAGAGGAAACAGCTACAGCAACTAGCAATACATCCAAAGTTACAAACTACTGCAGTTAGACATCTTGCACGGGTGCTCCATTTCCAGTTCTGTGATATGCCAGATAAAGTTTTTCTAACGAGTGCTGTAATCTCAGGCATCTTCTAGATGTAAAAGATGAAAAAGGAAAGAACCACACTAGGCCTTTTGAGAGCATCCCTAAAGTAAAAGAAAGACTAAGGCAACTGTTTATATCACTCAATTACAGTCAAGTTATGTAAGACATTCCCACTGCAATCTATCATCTACAGTTCATTATTACACATGAAAGAACCATCTGGGATCCATACTGCACACTGTACTATCTCTTGCCAGGTATCTCCCAGGTCCCAAAGGTTAAAGGTCAGAATCTCAGCCATGAGCTGGCTAAAAGGCTTGGAGAGACAGAGGCACGGTCATAGTTTCACCATTTTGGGGTCTTTTTACCCTGACTCTTGTCCCAGCATAGTCTAGGGCAGTCTAAGGAATGCCTTTTGTTGCCAGCAGCTTGTGTTCTCCATAAATCCCTTGATCATTATCTGGGCACAGAACCACTCAACACTCACCTGATCTGCCCTGCAGCATAAGACTTGGACAATAGGCTACCAATCTGCTATTCCACCAACTGCAGCTAAGGATTAGTCCAGACCTTTAAAGGCACAGCCAGATCATAGCTGAGAATTTGGCCTTTGATTTTCACTTGTCACCTGCACAGAAACACTAATCATTTGCCAAGCCAGACAGATTTGTACAAACATTTCTTGCACTTATTGGCAATATGTTTTCTACCCGTTCTAGTGAAAATAACATCTATGACCAGGATTTCTATCAGGTTTAACTATTCAATGTTTTAATAATGTTCCTGTTTGCATACTGCAATTTGGTAAGAAAAGCACCTATCTATGCCACAGTTTCATAAATAAACTTTTTTAGCTTGGGATCCACCTAGAAAATTTACTTTCTTATTTATATCACAGCAGTTATTCTCAAAAAGGGTGTCTTTTATTCACTCAGTGACATGCCACACTCATCTATGCAAAATGGAGCACTTTTTTGCTTAATTTTGAGGCCACTTTTAAACTGTGTTGAAAATTTAATTTGACACAAACGTTACATAAAGGGGGGGGCGATGGGGCAATGGAATATGTGTTTAAACAAAATCAGGAGTGTAACTGAAAAGTATGGGGGGAGGGAAAACCCAAAAACAAACTAAAATCCAAACCCCAAAGCATCCAAAGAAAAAGCAAAGAAATCAAATAAAAAGTTGAACATTGTGGTCTGGTCCTCATCTACTAAAATTGATGTAATTTAGGAATAAATCCACTCAAGCTGGTCAGCAAGTTCAAAGAAGAATCGCCCACTTAAGATCACCTTACCAGAAAAGAAAATCCAATTTTGAGAATTACATCAGATTTCAGATTTTACAAGGTTCACTCATTCTTAGTTTGTTGTGAGAATTTCCCAGGTTACAATGCAAAATAATGCTTAGTAAAAATATACGGAGCTCTACAACTCCTTTGCATAACTTTCCTGGAGTTGCTCTCTCCCAGGCTGGATTCTCTTCCCTTTTGCCACTATTGATTTTCTTCCCCTCATTCTGTCAATTTTAATCTGGCAGGGAAAGTCCTTTTCTAGCAAGCACTGTCAAAATATTCAGGACTCAGACATGCAATGCTGTGTCCAGACAGCAGTGCTGCGTGCCTCATTTGTATTAGCCAACATGCACATTCCTAGCAGTCAGATGTGTTCCACTGCACAGCTGTGCACCTCTGCCTCTGATTTTTTTCAGGTGCACGTTCCTCCCAAATGCAAGTTCTGTGCAGCCAGAATAGTTTGTCTCAAGCAAGTGTTGGTTCACTGCTGGCTGAAGGGAGGAAGACCAATTACTGTTACCCATTACCCTGTTAAGAGTTAACTAATTATCCCCAAAAACTCCAGCCTTTAGAATGGGAGAGTAGCACACAGCTTTTATAAATAAGAATTACTGACCTTTTTAAATAGTTTCAAAAGAAGAAACTCTGCATCAAATGTGAGTATAATTTAGGAACTACTACATAGCAGCAAAACTACATTAGACTTTCTGATTTTTCCATGGTGTCCTTGGATAGATACACCACCCAGTAGACCATGTTAAATGCTCCGAAGGTAACAGGAAATAAAATGCGTGCATATTTGTCTATCTTACTCGTGCCAGAGTGGGAGGCAGGGGGAGGAGGTGGTGTGACAGCAGATGGCTTTGCAGATGCTCCTAATGTATTAGGTGTGGTGGTCTGAATCTGCTCCAGTCTAGATCCAAGCAAGTGCTGAATGGAAGGGGATCCAGCTGTGGCATGCTGGGATACAAATCCAGTTAAAATTGGGGTAGAGGGAGGAGCTGGAGGGGTAGCTCTTGCAGAAGATAATGTCTCCGATGCATTAATTCGTGTGAAAGGGTTGGGACTTGATGCACAAAGGGAGTGGGGTGTAATGTCAGAAGACCCCTGAGCTACAGAGGAAGGCTGGACAGAGCTGTGCCTTGTGTCAATTCGGCTCCCACCATCAGCTTCAGACTGTACTGTGGCATTCGTTCTTTTCCTCACATTTGAATTGGCATCTGTACTCTGCAAAGTTACAAAAAAATACTTGTCATTCTTAAAATAAGCACTCAAACAAAAACAATGGAAACTATAATCAAGCAGTATCTGAGTAATACTCACGAATACAACCAGTAGTTTGATCCTGAAGAACAAAGATACCAAAAACTCATGAAAATAGATTTAATAGCATATAAAGTGACAAACAAGAGTTCCTTTTAGCTGTGGCTGGAATACCAGAGTGAAGACATCTAAATGCATCACACTCCATGTGATGCAGCACCTATACAAACAATACTGTGAAGCTAAGGATTTTCAGGTTAGAGTCACAGTTTTTTCCAGGCTCAAGCTCAAAACCAGATTCTCTAATGTCTACCTATTTTTCTGATGATATAAAAACATTCTAAATGCAACTTACCAGCCATGAAAGTTTGTTTATGCTTTATATCTCCAGAAAAATAACTACCATATATTAGGAACTCTAGTCTTCTACAGAAGTGGCTGTTAAAATGCAAGTATTCAGCAAACCAAGGTACCACATTGCTGGTCCTTCAGAAAAAAAGCCAGTGCTTTTCACATCAACAATAGCACATAAATTCACCAGGCACAACTGAAACAGGGAATAAATTAGTCTTTCATCAGCTATTCCTCTCCATTCATTAAGTGAGAGAAGTGGTGAATTCTCCATCACCTGGTGTCTTCAGGCACTTGATGTCTTTCTGAAAGATATTCTTCAACCAAATAGTACTTATTAGGCTGCATGAGAAACTGAAATACAGATAAGGAAGTACAGGAATAGGAAATCCATCAGAGTTTAATATTCTTCTGACTGTTGGGAGTGGGACTTGGCCTCTGCCTTTCTTCTCTGCACTTAGGAAGACTAACATGTCCTGAACTTCCTTCTGGAAAAGTATCTAAAGAATTCTCACCTTCAGCCCTGCACCTAAATATGATGTAAAACATACAATACTTTAGATATAATATGTGAATATTCTAATATAATAGAATATTAGAATTCTTCTAATTAAGAAACTAACTGCTTTCCAGTAGAAAAAGACTTGAGGACAGGGTACACAGGTCTAAATACTGAAAGGATGAAACAACCACTCGTTATATATAGAAAATCCTATGTTTTACACCTCTCTGATGATACCACTCCCAAGCATTGCCCTGCACCATACCAACTGTGCCTTTGGCTCCCCTTCCCTCCAGCCTTCCCAGAGAACCCTGCCAAAGCTCACAGCACAAATCAAAGGGAGAGAAAGCAGGCTGTGATGTCTTTCCTCCTTTGTCCAACAGCAGTTCTCTCCAGCCAAGTGACAGAACAGTAACAGAGAGCAGGTTAGGTATTATTCAAGGTACTAGTAGTATCTTGAGTAGTGACGAGAAGCAATGTGTCTGCCTGCTACACCTGTTGTGCTTCACTGCTCTGCTCAAGGAAACAAAGAAATTGAAGTTGAAAAGAAATCTAAAAAAAAAAAAAAAATAAAATCACTTGATGCTGTTCCCATCATGACCAGAATGTTGGTCCCTAATCCTGTTAATTGCAGTACAAATCTGTCACTGGCAATACTGTTGGCCTGAATTTATCTGAAACTGTCACAGCTTTATGCCTGTTCATGGCTGATGTATTTGCCAGCTCACAGTTGATATATCAAAGAATGCCTCTTATATTTCTGTTTTCCTTCCTGCATAGAAGCATGTCAATCCCTTTTATTTATTATTCTGCATCTGCAATCCAAAGAAGCAGAGGACTGAAAGAAACACCAGAAGAAACTGGTATTTCCTGAAAGAAACACTAATTTTACTGTTTGACAGCGAAGCCTGAGTCACTCTTTTGGAAGTGCAGAAGTACACAGGTGTGCAAACTGGATACTTTCATACTAGGTTTGTCAATGACCCAGGAATAGTAAAGCCATTTTCAAGACAGCTAAATTGAAATTATAAAGTACTATCAGGACAGGAGTACATTTACTAGAGACTTGGTAATACCTGATGGAGTCCATGTCACTTGAAGGCTTGCAAAGCTAAGCAGATGGAAGTCATCAATGTTCACTGCCCAAAACAACATCTCTGTGCCATGGAGAAGCTGGCACTAGTCAATGAGAGGAGGTGAGTTTTATCTTCTACATGCAGATCCTTGGACAACCTGGCTTTGCTCAAATAAGTGTCACCCACTGTAAAGCTCTCAGGCAGTGCCTGGGAAGCAAAAATCCAGGGGCTGGGACAAGGGCTGCAAAGTAAATCTGCACTGGAACCAAGACATGTCTCAGTTCCTTCCTGTTCTCTGCTTACAGTAGAGAAGTGGCTTAGAAGTTCTGCTGCTGGAGAATAGAATTACCACATCTTCAGTCAATCCACGTGCAACCATAAAGAATAGTCCAAAGAGCAAACCAATAAATTAGGTGCAATCAATTTACAGAGGCACCGTTTTATGTTCTTGCACATTTGTACTGCCACTGTTTTCAATCACCATCTCAGTATATTTCCCTTTTGTGCACCATCAACTACAGACACAGGTAAGACAGACAGGTAACAGTCAGGCTCCTCACATTCCATTCATCTCCATTTCTTTTGTAGGAACTTGTTTCCATTACATAATAACTCATCTTCCCCCCAACTTCAACTGTCGTCTAAATGACCAAATCAGACCTATTGCTATTGGATTCACTACTTGTTTTCCATTAAAGTCTCTATTCTAGAATACAATATTCTATACTATTTCAAATGCTCAAAATGTGTATCTGTGTAAAAGACTACTGGGCACTTGCTTTCTTGTTACTGACACAGAAAACTTCCAAAGTTTCAGAAACCTTAAGTTTAGAGAGAAACACAATTTTCTCAAAACATACTAATAAATGTACACATAAAGGCCAAATACATAACATTGTAAGATCAAAAAATAACACAGCATAACAAGCACCAAAAATACGGATACATTTTTTGTTAATTCCCTGGAAACTGACTCCCAATCACTCAGAGCATGGAAAACAGAAATGGCATTTCTAACATGCTCCACAGACAATGCTTCACAGAAACCTCACTGTTCTTTCACAATGTCCTTGTAATAGTTTGGATTTGCGTTCTTGAGTAGAATCTTGTTCTTGAAACATACTGAAACAAGCATGCTCCATGGAGCACCCAGATCCATTGTCATCAAAGCTGAGCAGAATGCACTCTCCTTGTCTAGAGGGCCTCACCAGCACATTGACCATCATGTACCCTCATTTATCCTTTCCTTGCACTTGTTTTACTCAAGATCTTATCATGACAATAGTTCATTCTCCTCATTCACACCACTCAGGTATCCTTCCTTGTTGAGTTGTCCAGTTAAAAGGTTTCTAACAAAAATACTTATTACTGGTTTTATACATAGGGCCCTTATATATTTCTCTATTCAACAAAGATAACTCACTCCTCCCTACATTAGTCTATTTCTCCTGCATACAGAAGCTATCTCACAACTCTACATCATCTGAAGATTAGTGACAAGGTCACTAATAAAAATATTAAACAAGCCTGATTATGTGGCAAGCCTTAATGAACCAAATTCTGTTGAAAACATAATAAAATACAGCATACAGTTTGTATTAGGAAAACATTTCAGTCATTTCAGTTATGGTATATACCCCTAGTAAAAGGATAATGTGATCATGACAATCTGACCAACAAAATTATAGACGTATGCAAAGCACTTGCTACCTCCCAAAATTATTTCACTTTATTTTTTTTTAAAACAGCAAGAAACACGAAACTATTGCCTGTTAGTTTGGAAGCACTGATTAGGTTTGCAGGGCAAGGTTTGCATGGCAGAGGGGCCACTTCCCCTTGTGTGACAAACACAAACCTGCAGCCCGTGGAGGTCCTCATGCTGGAGGAGTGTGGAGCAGCCTGTTTTTGAAGGACTGCACTCCATGGAAGGCACCCACACTGGAGCAGCTCACTCTGGCAAGCTGCAGAGCCTGGGAAGGACTCACACTGGACAAGTTCATGGAGGACTGTCTCCCCCAGGAGGGACCTCACACTGGAGCAAGACAAGAGTTTGAAGATTCTTATCCCTGAGGAGGAAGGGGTGACAGAGATAACTTGCAATGAACTGGCTGTAACTACCATTTCCCACCCCCCTGAACCACTGTAGGGCAGGAGATTCATTCATGAGTAAAATTAAGCACAGGAAGAAGGCTGCAGGGAAGATGTTTTAAGATTTAGCTTTTATTTTCTCATTACCCTACTCTGCTTTGACTAGTAATATATTAAGCTAATTTTCCCCAAGTCGAGTCTGTTTTGCCCATGATGGTAATTGGTGAGTGAGCTGTCCCTGTCCTTATACCATAAAGCTCTTGGGTCAAGATATGTTCTCTACCTTGTGCAGTTTAGAGAGGAATGATAGAGAAGCTTTGGTGGGCACCTCGTGTTCAGCCAGGGTCAACCCATCACAGGCATAAAAACATGAAATATAACATGAAAATCAAATAGAAGCCAAATGAAAATGCAAGCCAAGAAAGGAAGGGATTATCCAAGTAAGGATTCTTTTATGAGGGCAAATCAGGAAACCACTCAATTGTCCTGAGCCAACAGGACTGCCGTGCTAGTCCAGACGGGGCTCCACAGGAAATACTGAGTGCACATTTTTCACATTCTCACTCTAGATTGAGAAAGGTTCTGATTTTCTAGAGGCATATCAGTAAGACTTTTGGGAGACCATTTAAAATCGTGTAACTCAGGAATGCAAAGTGTGAGCCTGAAAACTACCATAACATCCAGTCATTACACTGTGCAGCACCAGGCTTAATAGATCTGATAAAGATTGCCTGTCTATAAAAACAACAAATTCTGCTTAGGTAAATGACACCTCACCTTTCCTTTGAAATAGCTTATCCATCTGATAGGTCCAGCCAACTGGTCCAACGAATTCCACACACACCAGAAACTCTGATTGTAACCATGACCAAATCAGAAGTTTGAAGTACTTTGCTCTGATATATCCTCCTTCAAGAGGAAACCTTCTTGCTATACATCCTGTCAGGAGAATTC